AGCTACCTTAGATGAATCCGTGTTCTTTTTCGTTTGGTGATTTGCACATTTCTTTACTTGTGATGATGTATCCTACGTCAAAAATCTTCCTAAATACAAAGATCACTTCAGGACTTTAGAGCACTTTAAGGCTGTCTAGAGGACACCTAAGCTTTGACCCCATGCAAAGATCCTATCCTACCTCAGCACAGGCTCCCTTAGCACAGGCTTAGATTGGCTGGAGGCTTCTGAGTACCACCAGCCAACAGGGCCTTTGGCAATCACAAAGCAATGTGGTTTTTGTTTAGACAAGTTGCTAGAATGTTTGAGCGTTTTGCATGTTTGTTTCATTAATTCATTAATAAGTCATTTTTCTGCTTTCTAGACTAATGGAATAAATCTATTTTCTTTTCTATGTAACAGTCTTTCCATGAATTTGAAATAGCTAATCTTAAATCCTTTACCAAAAGAACCTAAGTTCCTCAAAGCATTTCTCATATGAGATGGTTTCCAGAACTCTCATCCATTCTGAGACCTTCTCTGGAATTTTTAGAAATTACATGTATGCATCTTAATATAAAGTATGCCATTTTTCTGTTCTTATGAATGCCATTTTAAAACACTCAGATTCCATTTTATGTGCATTGCTGTAATGCCTGTCAACTTCCTTCACGTTGTTTGATAATCAACAAAAATATAATAAAATTTCAAGTGTGATTAAAATATTGTAATTAAAATTATTCTAAGTACACTGGATAATCCAGCTACTCTGAAATTAACCACAAGCTGAGTGAAAAATACAATCTTAGGCCCTGGAAAATAATCATTAAGCATACGCTTCATAAAACTGTTATTCCTTAACTCCAAATGTTCATTTAGATTAAAACAACAGTATCATTTATGCATCTAATCAAAGTACTCAGTCCTAGTCTTTATTAATGCATCTACATCTACTTAGGTACCGGTGGCTCCTAATAAAAGATTTATTTTTGAGATAGAACCCACATTTATTTGATGTCTTAACAATTAGAAATTTGACCAAAGTAATGTCATCCCACAAACCAAAGATTTCAACCAATGAAGGCATTGTCAAGTCTTGTGCTTTTTAAATATTTATTCGAAATAAGCCAATTGAGTGCCTTTTTAATTTACAACCTTATTCCCATGTTAGGTTCTTTCTTTGAATCCCTGCTTTCCAGCCTTTATGTAATGTCACTGATAAAATGTGGAAGGTTAATGGATTTCCACATCACTTATTTCCTCACCTGAAGAGAGAAGCAGATGTTTCACACCTGCTCATGTCTCCATGTTGTGCTGCTACAAGGCACCAAGGAGATTGGAAGTATATTACACAGGCCCAGTGTCAGATGCTGCCAGGCTCAAGATGGAATCAGCTGGGTGTGTGGACAGCAAACTCAATAGTACTTATTTTTGCACATTCAATAAAAGCAACCATGTCAGAACACTTTGATTCCAGATTTCACTATCTTCCACAGGCACACATTCCAGAGTAGAACTTGACCAAGTGTACTGATGAAATCTGGCAATTGCTATACATTGTGCAAAGAGCCCCATTGGCAGAAAGACTTACACTGCTCAGAAATTGGGAATCCTGCTGTCCATGTGTGAAGCTGGGAAGAAGCACAATGTGCAGTTGACAACACTTTACCCAGATGCCAGAGCAAGATTTGCCTTGTATTTTAGATTTCTCTTTCATGATAAGGATGATGCAAACACTCTGACCATCTGTTTCCACAAACAAATAACATGCTGCATGGATAAAAAGACACCCACACTGAACTATAGTTGACAGGCATTCTTTTGTTTTAAGTCTTCATGGTTTTTTTTTTTAAGTTGTTGTTCTGCTTTGAATCCAAGAATAGGACATAACTGATTTCTTATCTTCATCAATAAGCTATTAATGAGGATTTATTTTGTAATTAAATGCTTATCCACAAATCAAATTATGCCAAAATTAATGTATAAATATCCCAGGCTTGTCAAAATAGAGGCAGTGTTATTTTAGAAAGGCTTGGTAATATCTAGATATCTGGTAAGTTACTAAGATCTACCTAGAATTAAATTAATCCAAATGTTATGGTTGTCAAACAAAAATTCTTATTAGGAATGGACAAAAAGAACTATTGCAGAACAGTTGGTCATTCCATTGGTCCTAGCAGAAAAGTTAATACTGAAAATGCAATACATATGCTGTAGCTTGAATGAGAGATGGAGGAGGTATATGATGCATCTTACATCCATGTGGCTTTATGAGAAATGGCCTACCAGGCACAGTGGCTCACACCAATAATCCTAGCACTTTGGGAAGCTGAGGCAGGCAGATTGCTTGAGCTCAGGAGTTCAAGACCAGCCTGTGCAACATAGCAAAACCACATTTCTACAAAAAATACAAAAATTAACCAGGTGTGGTGGCTCACGCCTGTAGTTCCAGTGATCCATGAAGTAGGAGAATCACTTTAGCCCAGGAGGTCAAGGCTGCAATGAGCTGTGATCATGCCTCGGCACTCCACATTCCAGCCTGGGTGACAGAGTGAGACCATGTCTAAAAATAAAAATAAAAATAAAAAAAATCCACCATAGCCAATAAAAGCCTTTAAGAAATGGTATGCAGATTCTACCTGTTTTACATTCAGGATTTTTTTTTTTTCCGATTTTTAGTCATATTTCATGTTCTTTACCAATCCTAATTTTCTTTTAGGGTAAGTGCTCCTAGAAACATGTGAGAATACAATGATTCATAACATTTTTCTTGGTCCAGACTCCTTTGGGAAGCTCATGATAACTCTGGATCCTTTCTATGTAATAAAAGGTATATATAACATATGGCTTTAAGGATTTCAAACCAAAAATGCACTAGACATCCATGGCCAGTGATTAAGAATTCTGCTTCTAAATATCATACAGCAATTGTCCAAGTATTTGTGGATATGAAAAAGGATTAGGCTGCCACTTTCACAGACAGCAAAACAAAATGGCAATTTGTCAGAGACCTGATCTATATGATTTTTGTTTTGATTGGGTAGAGAAAAATGAAAAAATATGACTTGACCCAAACAAATAATGCACACAGATCCTTCTCTCCTATTTTCATCAAAAGCTTATTAGTACAAAATGACATATTGAAAGTGCTATTTTTTTATTCTGAAATCTGTTGGATACTGATAAACTCATTAGTGTACCACATGTGCTTGTACAGAAGGGTCCCTATCCTACAACTTTCAATATTTTACCTAAACATAATCTTTACACACAGATTTCAAGGATGTGATTATATTTAGACTTTGTATCCCAAGTAAATTGAGGAACTGTGTTTTTCTTTTTCATTGAAACGTAACAAAAACATAGCTAGTACTGTGTTTTCTATCTTCTAGCCAAAAATACTATAATTCCAAAATAAAAGTAGATAGGTGATGTACAATGAAGAAAACTGTCTTAGGAAATTTGAGAATTTAAGCTTTCTTAGTCTTAAACTTTTAAAAACTTTAAGTAGTAATTCAATTTTATGATTTCCTTTATTACTGAAACTTGTTCCTGAAAAGCTTAATACATTGGAAGATTTTTAGATGGATCTTAGAAATGTTCATATTAAAGGACTGTTATGGTGAAAACTTGTGTAAAGCAATCATCCCCTGGTTTATCACTTCAGTAAATCCAAATTTTCAATACTGGGTTTGCTTAAATCTTTATAATGTATAACGAGAAAATAAGAGTGATGATTTGGGCCTCCATTTTGATATTCTAAGCACAAGACATACAATTAAAAATAAGTTGGAAGCTGGATAATGAATAACCAGTAAATTGTATTTGTTCTTATTTCTTTTCTGCTTCTATGTTTTCTTTTAATATTAAGTAATTTACTTTCTCTAAAATCTTCCCTATAATCCAAATATTTACCAGTAAGTTGATTATTCTCTGGGTAAATTACAATTTAAACTATATTAATTGGATATTGTATTCGTAGTCTTGAGAGAAAGAAATTAATTTCTGTACTGAAAATAAAGCTAGTACACATTAGTTTGTGTTGTTTCTTCAGAAAAAAATTTCACGACTTAAAGATGGGCAAGCCAAGAACAAAAATTTGATTTCATAGAAACAGAGAATGCAAGTGCTAAAATAATGTCAATCACATCACTTTTCTCCATACTTTTCTGAATTTTATGATGTATCGATTTCATCCCAAAATTATGAATACTTTAGCAAAACATGCCTTCTGAATGATGAATTCTTATTCTCAGCTTTGCCAATATCAGAAAGAAATACATCTTGTGAACTCTTCATTATATTATACACCATCTTCAGTTACAGTCATGTGCTGCATAAAGATGTTTCCATCAATAACAGACTGCATAAAAGAGGGTAGTCTCATGAGATTATAATAACATATTTCAAACTGAACCTTTTCCCTTATGTTTACATACACAGACTGACTGACTGACCATTGTGTTAGAATTGCTTAAGGCATTTTGTACAGTAACATACTGCACAGGTTTGTAGCATAGGAGCCTGTTGTTTACAGACTGATTTTCAGTCTTATTAGTGGATCATCATTATCTTCACTCAACAGATAAGCAACCAAGACACTGAAAGGTTAATTCGTTTGCCTATAGTAATAGGGTCAGTTCTCCTAATGTTAGACTACAGAAGATTTGAAGCTATACTGTATAGCCTTGGTGTGTGGTAGGCTATAATATCAGGATTCATACAATACAAGTACACTTTATGATTTTTGTACAATGACTAAGTCACCCAACAATGCATTTTTCAGAATATCTCTCTGTCATTAAATAGCATATGAGCATATTTTTTTCATCGGCCTGAAAGTGTCTACAGGTTAATTCTTCCTGCATAAAGTCCTGCTTTGTTTAGCAGAAGTCCCAGGGGAGGTATTCATGAGAAGACTATTCTAAAAAACAAGCAGCATCTTTGTAGCTCAGGTTGTCAAATATAACTGGGTCAAGAGTAGCATACATTCTTCTATCTATGTGGATTTTTTTTCACAGACAAACTCTCCAAGAAAAATTCCTCCGGAAATCTGACAACAAACCCTGACCCTCAAAATGCAGCAGAACCAACCAGAACAATGCCGGAGGAGAAGGAAGTGGACCCTGGGAAAGAAGGTCCAAACAGGTGAACATTTAGTAAAACACATAACACATGTTAAGAGATATTGCTCAGCCTGCCCTAAAAAGCTCAAATATCCATTCTCCCCTTTAGTTGAATATAAATCCAGAAAAAAAAATCAATATTCACATAATACAAGAGAACTATATCATAACTAAAAGGTTGGTTCTGTCCAGTTCATCACTGGCCAGGCATGGCCATTAACCAGCGTTTCTAGGCAGCCATTTGGCTATAGGCCAAATCACAACAACAAAAACATTGCTGTTATGTGCATGAATCATTGTATCATCATGGAAACAGCCTATATATTTACTAGGCATGAATTTTTAAAAAGAAATGAAAATTTTTTAAGTTCGCAAAGAAATAGCTATTCCAATTCTGTAAATATATTATTGTTTCCAAAGATTGATTATGATTTCCTTTTATCTACTAAAGAAAGTGTGGCATGCTAACCAGGAATAATTACAGAACTCGGGTATATTTATGCCACTGAAGGAACACACCTTTATAAATACTTCCCATAAAATTATTGGAAATGCCACAAATGAGATGACAATTTAAATGTGAATATTAAATCTGCAACAAATCCCAAGGAGGTCCTTCATTTTGCCACTTCTTGGCATACTAATATGTACCTGCTGATTCACTTTGAATAGCTTAACTATAGTTGATATAACTGCAATATGTTTATGAAACCATAAAAGCACATTCTTCTTATTTAGTAGACAAAAAAAAGCTGTCACTTATAAAGAAGTTAAAAATACCTATTCGTCCATCCCACTCTGCCCCACCCCACCCCACCTTCTCCCTCAGCAGTGCCTCTACTGTGTTAAACTATCTGCTGTCAGTAGAAGTCATCATGATTATCTAGGACCCAGGAAATTGCTGAATAAACAATTGGCATCAGAAAGAAAGAATGCTTTTTCAGTAAACACAAATTTGCCTATATGAAAATAAAAACAAGCTCATTCTATCACACACATACACACAGATATACACACATGTGCACATAAACACAATGTTATTTGACAAAAATAAAACGACATATTATTTTGGCAGAGGGATATTTAAATTCTGAGGTAAGGACTAAAATCTAACAACAGGACAAGTAATTATTTATATTATGACTATTGTTGTTTACAGAATGATTTTAAGTTATCCTCACTCAACAGATAAACAACCCAAGACACTGAAAGGTTAATTCATTTGCTTATAGTAATAGTGTCAGCTCTCCTAATATTAGACTTCAAAAGATTTGAATTCCCAAAGAGAACTTTTACCTCCCTCACATCAATACACTCCTAGCCTTCTAAACTAATCTTCCTTACTAGCATCAATTTTAATATGTTTATTTTTTGTAATAACCCATGGAAATTAATAGATTTCCAAAGGAGTGAAGTTGAAGCCATAATTTTTTGGCAGATAAAGTCTTCTTAATTCGTATTCATTCCTAGTCTTTCTTTCTTTCTTTCTTTCTTTCTTTCTTTCTATCTTTCTTTCGTTCTTTCTTTCTTTCTTTCCCTCCCTCCCTCCCTCCCTCCCTCCCTCCCTCCCTCCCTCCCTTCCTTCCTTCCTTCCTTCCTTCCTTTTTTTTTTCTTTCTTTCTCAACAGAGTCTTGCTCTGTCACCAACGGTGGAATGCAGTGGCCCAATCTTGGCTCACTGCAACCTCTACCTCCCAGGTTCAAGCAATTCTCCGGCCTCAGGTTCCCGAGTAGCTGGAACTACAGGCATGCACCACCACACCCAGCTAATTTTTTGTATTTTTAGTAGAGACAGGGTTTAACTGTGTTAGCTAGGATGGTCTCAATCTCCTCACCTCACGATCTGCCCACCTCGACCTCCCAAAGCTCTGAGATTACAGGCATGAGCCATGGCACCTGGCCCCATTCCTAGTACTTTGAATACTCTTCTGAAATGCGGAAGTGGAAACCTTTCAACTAACCAGAAGTGGGGGTTAAGCAGCATACCTCAAAAACACAAAACTTCTTGACATGCCCTCTAAGGCCCTACCTGGTCTGTCTCTCACCTGATTTTACTTTGTCCTGTCCCAGCACGCAACTTTCCATCCTCTCTGCTCCAGTCACACTTATTCTATTTCAGTCTCTTGTATTTGTCATGTTCCCTCCTGCTGCAGACTTTTGCAAGTGGTACTTCCTCTGCTTGTTCTAGTCTTTCCTCCCAATTCCCTAATTAACTTCTACTCATTCTTCATCTAAGAGTATGATCATTACTTCCTTTGGAAGGCTTTCCCTGATCCTAACTAGACCATGTGCCCCTATTATAAGACCTTTATCACAGCATTTATTGCTGATGCATTTTTTATGATTATCGGCCTGAAAACCCCATCAGTCTCATTCTCTACATTGTGTGCTTCATGATGGCAGGGGCCATGTCTGTTTTTGTTGATGATTAGTATCCCCAGTACCTACATCAATAATGCCTAGCACACGGTAAATACTCAATAAATATTTAACAAATGAATTAATTGATTGATCCAAACGTATTGGGTTTACTTGAACTTCTAGATTTTCAAAACTGTGTAGCTTCTGCAGGAGGAGAGAGCAAGATACAAATGGCTCTCCAAGTCTTGCCATTCTTTCCCGCTCAGAATTTTTGATAAGAGCAGGAATAACCAGTAGCAGATTGCAAAGATAATGAGGAAAAAACATGAGGCTGTAAAGCTCTCAATTCCTTACTTCTCTTCTAACATGGCTTTTCATCACTATCACTCTCCTGAGATGGCAAAATTATTAAATCTAGAACACATTTTTATGGTTACACATGTGGTTTGATTGTACAGACAAATTGCATGTTGCAAGGGTTTGATGTACATGAGCCAGAAAATAAGCACAGTATGCAATAGGTAGTTTTTTTATTCTCAGCCTACTCCTTCCCTCCATCCTCAGTAGGCCCTGATGTCTATTGCTTCCTCCTTTGTGTCTTTGTATGCTCAGTGTTTAGCTACCAGTTGTAAGTGAGAACATGTGGTGTCTGGTTTTCTGTTCCTGTGTTAGTTCACTTAGGATAATGCCTTGAAGCTCCACCCGTGTTGCTGCAAACGACGTAATCTCGTCAGAACACATTTTAGTGTCTTCCTGCTGCAATATAGATAGCTAAGTGGTTTGAGAAGGATTAACAAACTGAGTATACCCGAGTTAGCTTAAAGTTCTTGCTTCCTTATTAGATGGTTGTTCACACATTTTCTCAGGATTTCCAAGCAGTTGCACTGAAAGGACAACTTGAAAGGGGCACTAGAAGCTCCAGTATCACCTTTGACTAAAATTAATGGGAATCTTAACATTCAGTAACATATAGAACTGACCGAAGATTTCTGTTCTGATCTCATGGGCAACAACAGTTCCACATCTAGAATCCTGGAGACAGAGTTTTCATACATCATAAGAAAATATCAATGATATAACAATTATTGAAATTATTACTTCACAATGCTTTTGATAACTAAAAGATCACCTTTGTATTTTCAGTTATTAAATATCAGCATCTTTAACCTTGGGCAAAGTCAGGTTTTAAAAAGCTCTTTCTCTTCAAAAAAATTTAAGTGTTTGATTGATTGCAGGAACTAAATATAGATGCTGTGCAAGTGACTAGTTCTCACCTCAATTTTTTAAACTTAGAAAATTTAAAATAAGGTTTCTTATTCTAAGTGCAATTACCTTATCTTCTTGTCTAAGCTTTGAGCTGAATAGGGATTAATATGTCTGAACTGATCAATAGGTACTGGGGAGAATGCATAGTGTGGATTTTGCTGTCCGTGTGTGAGAAGTGCAGTGTGATATTATTGATTACACCTTTAGTTTCTGTCCTGCTTAAAAGATGGGCAGAAGTGAACACCAAGAGGAGCAGAGATGTAGAGACTATTATGTGTATCTGTTAGGGTTCTCCAGAGAAATAGAACCAACAGGATATATACATATATAGGGAAATAAATCTATTATAAGGAATTGATTCATGCAGTTATGGAGGCTGAGAAGTCCCAAGATCTGCAGTCAGTAAGCGACCCAGGAGAGCCAATGATGTAGTTCCAGTATAATTCTGAAAGCTTGGGAACCAAGAGCCAATGGTATAAATTCCAGCCCAAAAAGCCAGGAAACTTAAGGCCCAACAGGAAACAATGTTTCAGTTTGAATCTAAAGTCAGAAAAAGACCAATGTTCAAGCTCAAACAATCAGGCAGGAGTGCAGTCTTTCTCTCAGGAGAGTCAGCCTTTTGATTCTATGCAGGCTTTCAGCTGACTCAGTGAGGTCCACACGCATTAGGAAAAGCAATCTGCTTTGCTCAGTCTACTGGTTCAAATGTTAATATCATCCAAAATATCCTCAAAGGCACACCCAGAATAATATTTGACCAAATATCTGGGCACCTTGTGGTTCAGTCAAGTTGACACATCTCCATTATGTACATAAAGGAACTGAAACTGTATAAGTCCCACTCTTTGGCCCCAAAAGCAAACAATTCATTATTTTGTCAAATAAAACACTTAGCTTTTGAAAGAAACAGGGTTCACCCCTGGGACATCACACTGATGTTATTTGTTCATTACCAAGAAAAACAGCTTATTTCTGGCACTTTGTCTCAAACCAGCTGTATTTTTTAATATTAAAAATATATATTTTGATGGACGCTAATGAATAGCAAACAAAAGATGTGTTTTGCCTGGAAATGTCAAATAGCTATGTCAGAAAAAGGAGACAGAGTTGAATGGCTGGTAGGTTAAGTGGTTAAATGATGAACAAGCGAGTGAAATGTTCAGTGCCTGTGACTAGGGTGTGCTGCAAGACTGACTTTTACACTATAGTATATGCCTTTCATCACCGTTGTTACTTATAATACTGAGAAGGAATGTTATTTCTATGAACACTCTTCTTTGTACATAATAGCAATCAGTCTCTATTTGGGTGGTTTTAAAATAGGCAATCAATAGGTTTCACAGCAGGAACAATGAGAGCAGAATAGAATTCAGAATCTTATCACCACTCATAAAC